AAATAGCTGGCGGAGCAAATCCGAGCTTCGCGTACCGATACGCATTTTTTGGATGTTCGACATTTCCGTGACGTGGATTCGGTGTGTATTGTGCGGATTCCGTCCAGATGGATCCGTTCTAATCTTGCCCCGTAATTAGCTTGATCCACGCCACCCCTAAACACCTCTAATTTTCGCTGAGGGTAATAAGCGGCGGTCATATCGTATCCGTAGGGTTGTATATCCAGGAAGCGAACGCCGCTGGAGATATCTTACCTAATGACACTCTTTCCCTCTTCCAGCGACGATAACAATCAGTAATCAGGCGACCCGCTTGCTGACATGTAATTTGTTGATAATGGCGGATTACTAATAGGCTGGCACATTTTCAGATTAGCAGATTTGTAAGGGGGCAGATTGCGCAGATTATGCACAATACGACCATCAATCCGCGATCAAGACAAATCCCCTTCCTCATTAAAATCTGCATTTTTGCCGCATCGGCGCGATTTTTCTTCGCTGCAACGTCTAATTCGCCGATGGTATGATATGCACGTCCCGGAGTTTGCGACGAAAGCGACAATTTGAATGCGACGCCATCGGCCCACAATAATTCCCCATCACAAATCGACCATCTTTTCTTATGCGCGCACGTTCCTCTATCTAAATTGTTTATGTTTATCTCACTGTGCCAGGAATTGATGAACTAACGGCTGGAACAGGCGACGAAAAGTAATGACACTGATACGACGCAGACTTACGCCTCCATACGACGATTGTCTTGGGTGGGGATTGAGATTGTCCGACTACGACAAACCTGGAAATGATTTTATCTACAATGAAGCAGTAGGAGCAGGTTTATGGTTGGCGTTTAGTCGAGAGACAACCGAGAAATATTTATGTAATATTACGTATTACAATGCCTTAAATTATCGCCGGTTGTAAAGCTGTCACGGAAGAGATAACATGTATGAAGTGGATACACATGTCGTGAAAGAACCACACAGATTATGCAAATGAAAAGAAAATTAACACGGTACGAAGTGGATTCTTTTGTGTTGTTTCTTCGATGTTTTTGTGACAATGTGGCTTAAACGAGCGTGGACGAATGTGGGGCTCATTAATATGCAACCGGGATTGGTGGCAATTAAAATTAAATGATTACAAAAGCGTTTTAGGAATGCCTACGTGTTTCTGGTTTCCTATTTATTATCTCCGGTTACAAATAACCAAGAATTTCGTTTCGTGTTTACTTGGTCACTTTTCTAGGTCTGATAAACTGCATTTATGCAGGAAATCCTGGAAGTTAACTCCTTATTACTGCAAAAACTTGAAAAATGGAGAAATCAAAAATTGAAAAAATCGAAAAATTGAAATATGTATCACAAAATTGAAAAATTAGAAAAAAAACGAAAAATCAATAAATCGAAACATCGAAAAATTCAAACATCGGAACGTCGTTAAATCGAGTAAAAACAAAATTTAAATCGAAAAACTAAAAGATTTAAAAATTTAACAATCGAAAAATCAAAAAACAGAAAAACCGGAAAATCCAAAGATCGAACAATGGAAACGTCAAAACAACGAAAAATTTAAAATTCTAAAAACTGAATACATAATTCCAAAATACAGAAACTGAAAAATGCCCAAAATTGAAATGTTGAAAAATTCAGAAATCGAAAAATTCAAAAAAAACAAATATGTAATATCGAAAAATCTAAAATTTAAAAAATCGAAAAACTGAAAAACCGCAAAAATGAAAATCGTCAAATTGAAAAACCGCAAAATTCAGGAATCGAAAACTGAAAAGACGAAAAATCAAAATATCGAAACATCGAAAAATTCAAACATCGTATCGAGTATCGATAAATCGAGTCAAAATAAAATTTACATCGAAAAACTAAGATTTAAAAATGTAAAAATCGAAAAATTCTAAAAACTGAATAATTCCAAAATACAGAAATTGAAAACTGCCCAAAATTGAAATGCTGAAAAATTCAGACATCTAAAAAAAAGTAAAAAAAAAACAAAAAATATCTGAAAAACCGCAAAATTGAAGATTGTAAAACTGAAAAGACAAAAAATTAGAAAATCGTAAAATTGAAAAACCGAAATTCGAAAAATTGGAAAATTGGCAAATTGAAAAGCCAAAACATCGAAAAACCGAGAAATCAAAAAATCGAAAAATTGGAACCTCGGAACGTCGCTAAATCGAGACAAAAAAAATTAAAGAAAAACTGAAAGATCTAAAATTTAAAAAATTGAAAATCATCGGAAAGTCAAAAAATGAAAAATTAAAAATTTTTTAAAAACTGAATAATTGAAAATTAGAAAAGTCGAAAAATTGAAATATTACAAAATTGAAAAAATCAAAAAATTGGAATCAAAAACTGAAAAGACGAAAAATTAGGAAATCGAATTGAAAAACCGAAACTCGGAAAATTGAAAAATCGTAAAATTGAAAAACTGAAAAATTAAAAAAATCGAAACATCGAAAAATTCATACATCGGAATGTCGTTAAATCAGTCAAAACAACATGTAAATCGAAAAACTAAGATTTAAAAATCGAAAAATCAAAAAAAACAGAAAAACTGGAAAATCGAAAGATCGAACAATGGAAACGTCAAAACAACGAAAAATTTGAAAATCTAAAAACTGAATAATTCCAAAATTCAGAAACTGAAAAATGGCCAAAATTGAAATGCTGAAAAATTCAAAAATCGAAAAATTAAAAAAAAAACAAAAAATATCGAAAAATCAAGAATTTTAAAATCGAAAAACTGAAAAACCGCAAAACTGAAAATTGTAAAACTGAAAAAACAAAAAATTAGAAAATCGTAAAATTGAAAAACCGAAACTCGAAAAATTGGGAAATTGAAAAGCCAAAAAATCGAAAAACCGAGAAATCAAAAAATCGAAAAATTGGAACATCGGAACGTCGCTAAATCGAGACAAAAAAAAAATTAAACAAAAACTGAAAGATCTAAACTTGAAAAAAATTAAAAAATCAAATACATATTTTAAAAATGAAAAAATGGAAAAACCGGAAAATCGAAACATCGAACAATCGAAAAGTCAAAAAACGAAAAATTAAAAATTTTTAAAACTGAATAATAGAAAATTAGAAAAATAGAAAAATTGAAATATTACAAAATTGAAAATTTAAAAAAAAAAACGAAAAACCGACAAATCGAAAAATCTAAAATTTAAAAATCAATAAATTGGAAAACCAAAAAATTCAGGAATCAAAAACTGAAAAGACGAAAAATTAGGAAATCGAATTGAAAAACCGAAACTCGGAAAATTGAAAAATCGTAAAATTGAAAAGCCGAAAAATCAAAAAATCGAAACATCGAAAAATTTAAACATCGGAATGTCGTTAAATCAGTCAAAACAAAATTTAAATCGAAAAACTAAAAGATTTAAAAATTTAAAAATCGAAAAATCAAAAAATCAAAAAACAGAAAAACCGGAAAATCGAACAGTGGAAACGTCAAAACAACGAAAATTTTGAAATTCTAAAAACTGAATAATTCCAAAATCCAGAAACTGAAAAATGCCCAAAATTGAAATGCTGAAAAATTCAGAAGTCGAAAAATTAAAAAAAAAAACAAAAAAACCGCGAAATTGAAGATTGTAAGACTGAAAAGACAAAAAATTAGAAAATCGTAAAATTGAAAAACCGAAACTCGAAAAATTAGAAAATCGGCAAATTGAAAAGCCAAAAAATCGAAAAACCGAGAAATCAAAAAATCGAAAAATTGGAACACCGGAATGTCGCTAAATTGAGACAAAAAAAAAATTTAAACAAAAACTGAAAGATCCAAAATTTAAAAAATTGAAAAATAAAATACATATTTTAAAAATGAAAAAACGGAAAGTCAAAAACGAAAAATTAAAAATTTTTAAAACTGAATTATTGAAAAGTACAGAAACTGAAAAATGGAGAAATCGAAAATTAGAAAAATCGAAAAATATAAAATTTAAAAAATCGAAAAACTGAGAAACCGCAAAAGCGAAGAATCGAAAACTGAAAAGAGGAAAAATTAGGATATCGAAAAATTGAAAAACCGAAAAATCAAAAAATCGAAACATAGAAACATCCAGAAATCGGAAAATCGAAGAATTAAAAATCTTAGGCCCGGTTTTACAATGCAAGCTTAAGCGAGGTTCAAAGATAAGCCTTGGTTCAACTGCAGTTGTCCGTTTTACAATACATGGTTCAATGTTAAACCGCGCTCAAACGAAGGCTCAGCTGAGCGCTGATGTCAGGGTGGTTTAAGCTTCGCTCAACTGTCCATAACCTCAAATGTCTGTGCTTTATCGTTTTGGTGGTGTGACAGCATTATAATTGAAGATGGAAAATTTATTAGGAGTATTAACTGACGATGAAGACGTTTTAGAAATGCTAAACATATTAGAACCGGCACGTATGCGACGACCAAAAGTTTTTCAGTTGAGAGAAAATCACTTTGAAAAGTGAAATGCTGGGGAATTTTTGAAACGATTTCGTTTTTCCAAGACTGGCGTACGGTTTATTTTGCAACAAATACAGGAGCAAATTACATCGCGAACAGAAAGAAATCATGCAGTATCACTGGAGCAAATGCTACTTGTGACTTCACGTTTCCTTGCCACTGGATCTTTTCTGCAAGTTGCTGGTGACTTTATAGGGATTAGTAAAGCTACAGCTTCTCAAATAATTAATGTTTTGGGGTGTGGAAAAGACGCTTTCCAGCATTGGCTTTTGGAATTCGTTTAAAAATGTGTAAATTAGAGGCAGTGGTTGTGGCAACAGCAGTTTTACACAACATTGCAATTATTTTAAATGAAGAAGAACCGCCAGTGGACGCAGAAGAAGAAGCAGCAGTGAATTTTGTGAACGATGTTCTAATTGAAAACATTGGAGAATATAGTGGCAATTATAATCAGAACAATTTTGTACGGAACCAGTTCATCAGAGAATATTTTACTCATTTGCTTTTTTTGATTTCGTTTTTAGTTGCAGTAAATAATAAAATGTAATGTAATTATTTATTTAAGTTTTATTATTTAAAATATTAAATTTTTGGGCAATTAATATTTCAATCTTCATTTGGTGTTCTGCTTTATTACTTCTAATTCAAGTGCAGCTTTGTCTCTCATAATTTGCATTTCTAGTTCATGTTTCTCTTTCATGGCTTTTAATTTAAACTCTTGCTCCTTTTGGATGTATTCCTTTCGACTTAGTTCGACAAGTTCTTTGGCAGCGGCACATTGCTCTAAATTATCACTTGTCTGGTTTCCTTTACCTATACAAACAATACATTAATAAAGTTTTAAGACAAGTGTCAAACATTTTTTAATATAAATATATATACATATAATACCTCTACGATATGGCGTGAGTGCTGAAAATTTTTTTTGCTTCAAGATTTTGGGGGAGTATTTAGCCCAATTCCCAGTTTGACCATTTTCTACAAAAATAACCATGTTTGATTATTATTAATGTTTACCACTTTCTTTATTGGGACCACTTATTTTATCCATAACAGGCACTTCTCTCGAAATTGCTCCGGTTTGATCTTTTGGCATAAAACAATCTGAAATAAAGAAAAAATAGTAAAAAATTTCTGAATAAAGTGTATGTAAGGATAAAAAGTATTTACCATCATTTTCGTCATCAGACAGATTATACCGCTGTTACTTTGGAATGCTGAAAAGCATCAACATTTTAATTTTACAATACATATTATTCATAAAAATACTTATTACAGGTTGTTTCGGAATCGCCATCAAATTCGCTGCTATGCCCCATTGGTTTGGCCCCGAGAATTTCTTTTACAGCCACATCAACATTGGTGGCCTCAATACTTTGTTGTGACCCTCTCCCAGTACCACCGACATAGGCTTTCTCGTCAGCAAATTTTTTCGTTGTCCTCTTCTTAATGTTGTCGTACTTTTTGTTCAAAACTTTGTGATCCCGGAAGGTCTGGCCAGATAAAGAATTGAACTCTACTTCAATTTTCTTCCAACACTGATTTTTTTTTTTTTTTGATTTGCATCAGTGTTGGACAATTTACACTCCAGAATATTTCTATACTTGCTTACTAAAGATAGGAGCAAGTTTTCTTCGGATTTTGTAAAATTCGGAGCACGTGTATTACTCATCTGAAACGAAATGTTAAAAACCATCATAATCATCTACTATTAACGAGCAAATGTTACATATACACATATACGTACCCCAGTAACGCAAAAAACTAATTACTTTGCAGAATTTGTCACAAATAATTTATAATAATGTGACATGATGACATAGATGACAACAACAACACACTTCCAACGTGCTCCCAACGTGGTCTCAACTGTCAGATTCTCGGGTGCGCGCTACCAACCTAAGGAAATTTGTGGTTCAGCTGAACCGGACGATAGCGGTGTTTGTAAAACGGACGCATGAATTGAACCTCAGTTCAGTTGAACTCAAGTTCAGTTGAACTCGTGTTGAACCGGACATTTGTAAAACCGGGCCTTAAAGTCTAAAAAATCCATAAACCGAAAAATCGAAAAATTGAAAAATCGGGAAATTGGACAATCGGATAATCAAACGTCAAAATCCCGATAAATTGAGAAATTGAGAGAGAAATCAAAAAGCTGAAAAATCGAGAAATCGAAAAGTTGAAATTTCGAAAAATCACAAAATTTATAAAATCGAAAAACTGAGAAACCGCAAAAGCGAAGAATCGAAAACTGAAAAGAGGAAAAATTAGGATATCGAAAAATTGAAAAACCGAAAAATCAAAAAATCGAAACATAGAAACATCCAGAAATCGGAAAATCGAAGAATTAAAAATCTTAAAGTCTAAAAAATCCATAAACCGAAAAATCGAAAAATTGAAAAATCGGGAAATTGGACAATCGGATAATCAAACGTCAAAATCCCGATAAATTGAGAAATTGAGAAATCAAAAAGCTGAAAAATCGAGAAATCGAAAAGTTGAAATTTCGAAAAATCACAAAATTTATAAAATCGAAAAATGGAAATACTTAGAAGTCGACAAATCGAAAGATCCGGAAATTGGAACATCAAAAAAATTGAAAAATCTAAAACATAAAATTTAGAAAAATTGACAAATACTAAAACTGCAATATCGAAAAACGGTTAATCGAAAAATTGAAAAATCGAAGAAAAATTGAAAAATAGCAAAACTGAGACATTAAAAAAATTGAACAATCGGTAAGCTAAAAACCGAAAAATCGAAAGTCGAAAAACTGAAGAGTCGAAAAATCGAAAATTTAAAAAAATGAAAAATGGAGACGCTGAGAAATAGAGAGAAAATTCAGAAACGCAAAAAATAAAAAAACTGAGGAATCAAAAAATTAAAACATCGTAAAACTGAAATATCGGAAAATTAATAAATCGAAAAATCAACACATCAAGAAATCGAAAAATTGAAAAATCGAAAAACTGAAAGATCTAAAAATTGAAAAATCAAAACATTTTAAAAATTAAAAAACTGAAAAACTGAAAAATCGAATACATAAGTGATAAATATATAAACTGAAAAATGCCCGAAATTAAAAGGCTGAAAAACTCAGAAATCGAAAAATTGACACATTAAAAAATTGAGACACCGAAAGATCAAAACATGAAAACATGGAGAAATCGAAAATGGATAACCGAAAAACTGAAAAATCGGGAAACTGAAAAATAGAATAATAGAAAAGCGAAAAGTCAAAACACCAAAAATTTTTAAAAAACTGAAAAGAAATCCAGAATTGGGAATTTCAATAAATCGAAAAGTCGAAAGATCAAGAAATCTAGAAATCAAAAAAGCGAAAAATCGAAATAGAAAAAAATCGTAAGACTGAAATCTCGGAAAATTAAGAAATCGAAAAATAAAAAGATCGAGAAAATCCAAAAATTGAAAAACTCCAAAACTGACGTATGTGCACCGAAAAAATGAGTAATTGAAAAATTGAAAATAGAAAGGTTTAAAAATTCCAAGACTGAAATATCGCAAAATTGAGTCATCGAAAGCGAAAAATCCAGGAATCAAAAAATCAAAAAGACGAAAAATCTAAAATTCGAAAATTGAGAAATCGAAAAATTGATACATCAAAAAATTAAACAATCGAAAAGCTGGAAAATCGAGAAATCGTGACGTCAAGAAATATAAACATTGAAAAATCGATAAATGGGAATATCAATAAATCAAATAGTCGAAAAGCCAAGAAATCTAGAGATCAAAAATGCGAAAAATCGAAAATCTAGAAAAGCTAAAAATTAAAAAACGGAGCAATCAACAAATTAAAAAATCGCAAAAGTGAAGTATCGGAAAATTAAGAAATCGAGGAAAAAAACAGACCGAGAAATCGAAATTTTGAAAAATCGAGAAACTGAAGAATCGAAAAATTGAAAAAACCCCAAAATTGAAAACCTGTCTATCGAAAAACTGAGTACACAATTGAAAAATTGAAAAAAGAAAAGTTTAAAAATCCCAAAACTGAAATATCGAAAAATTGAGAAATCGAAAAACTGAAAAATCAAGAAATCGAAAGGTCGAAAAATCTAAAACTTAAAAAACTGAAACAGAAAAATCGTGACGTGAAATATAAAAAAATCTAGAAATCAAAAAACCGAAAATTCAAAAATTTAGATAGGTACGCCAAAAATTAATAAATTGAAAAATAAAAAAATAAAAAATTCGTAAGACTGAAAAATCGGAAGATTAAGAAATTGAAAAATAAACAGATCATCGAGAAATCGAAAATTTAAAAAATCGAGAAACTGAAAAACCCCAAAATTGAAAGATCAGTTTGGTAATTTCAGATATCATCTGTATAATGAAAACAACACAGACAGCGTTCAAATAGACAGACGGAAATGGGGGGGGGGCTATTATTTGTACTCTGGGGGTCATGGAACGTTGAGAAAACATGAAAGTAGCTTATCCTCGGGAAGTAAAAAAATCACCCGGTATTAAAGAGCCAGCACTTTTGCCTACTTACTGACACTGGAAGAATGTGGAGCTCATTTTAAGAATGCCTACGTGTTTCTGGTTTCCTATTTATTATCTCCGGTTACAAATAACTAAGAATTTCGTTTCGTGTTTACTTGGTCACTCTTCTAAGTCTGATATACTGCATTTATGCAGGAAATCCTGGAAGTTAACTCCTTATGGCACCTGCTAAGCGAAAAAGTTGCGAGATTAATGTTAAAATCCTCTAGATTTAAAATTCAGAACTATGCGATCTGAAAACTGCAACTATGGAAGATTTACGAGCCATCAGTTTGATATTATTGGCGGAACTTTAAAATATTGGAGACTGATCTCAAGTTGCGATCTTAAAGAACTGCAGTTTGAAAATTATTGAAAAAGTTTCGAAATGTGGAAATCAAAACCGCGACACGTAAAAGTTTATCAAATATTTCTGTCTGCTTTTGCAACTCTATTAAATTAAAACTTTGAAAGAAGATTTTTCAAAAATTAAAGTAAACACATTCCCGGGACGTCGTTGGATGAATCCGGTCACGTGGTCAGACCCCCAGCACGCACTTGGATGTGCCGGCTAATTGAGCTTTCGGCCCTCCACTCCAAAACTTTCACTATCACATCCATCTCCGCTTGCGGAGTTTTTGTTGTTTCATTGATTAAAGTTGCGTTTTCTCATTAAAACCGAGTTTGGCTGGCCCCGCCCATCGATGGCAGCTGATTAATTTTTCATGACCATTCCTCGGAAAATTATATACGACAAATTGATTTAGACTCTTCGCAGTAATGTTTGCAGTGAAAACGTAGTTACACGCAACTTAATAACGGTAATTTTAATATCACAACTAAGTACGAGTTACGCTGTGGATCTAGTAAGCGGCGGTGTTCCTTATCACGGGGGCTATTTGTCTGAATATAAAACCGGGAGCTGTAACATGGGATATTTATCTCTGGAAGGGAAAAAGTAGTGAATTTAAATTACACGCCCCAGTTCCTGTTTCTTTTTAAGCATATCTCATTATTTAAACAATGTTTTGTCGTACGATCATATCGCACTGATTACGCCCCAAATTCCTTCCATCGTTACTTTAATAGGGTACGGCGTTTTTTCTCTATTGTACCTCGGCCATTTTCATCCGAGTAATTGTCCGCGCGGAGGAATTATTCCATTGATTTATCGATTCAATTAATACAGGCGAAGCGATATTTTTACACAATAAACTCGATCTTTTGTCGTATTTCATCGGAACCAAGTGGTGTGAAACATTAAATATTCACGGTCTTGTCGACGCAAAAACACGACCCGCCACATTTTTCAACAAAGCCACGTTTGTTAAACAAAGTCGTTTCAAATCCGAAATCAATATCGTGCATTTGGATGCGATGGCAGCATGCGTTACCCAATGCCCGCAAAAACGCAATTTAAAATTTAACGAGCTAGCGACCCCTGACGCACTTAGGACCAGTTTCGCTTGTTTGGGACTCGAGTCCATTAGGTGATGACCATCAACAATCTTAAATGAAGGTGAAACCGCCACTAAGAACCTCTAAGTTTGTCGTGTGTATGCGGTGGAGGGTTGAGTAATGTTCCATTGGATGGGGTTGGACAGGTTGCGGTCGTATTATGCAGTGGAAGTCATTATTGAACGTCGTGAACGTGAAACACACATTTGTAACTGCTTTTAAAACGCTTAAGATAGTGGTTATTCACTGCTACTTTGTACTCACAATGCATTTTATTAGACTTAGATAAAGCCGTGTGCAACGGCGAATTACATTGTTAGAAAAACGTGGCTGGAATACACCGGTTTGGTGATTTGACGGGTACTAGGAGGCAAGAAATGGACGGACGTGAAGGCCAAAAATGCACTAATTCATTACGTGAGGGGCTTACAGGTCTTACAGCTATGTAAGAGTGCATCTCCAGATGTTCGACGACACCCTGTGGCATTAGGCGGGATTCGAACCGCATTTGCGACTTTGCATAGATTATACAGGGTGTAATTGAAACCAGAATAGCGAGATTCAAGAGCGACTTGTCTTAGAATCAAATTTATATTACTGTTACGTCGATCGAGGTCTTTCTCGAATCCATCGCGACTTCCGCTTCCAGGCCATCCTGTCATCGCACGATGAGTCATCACCGCCGTACGTATAAATATAAATAAATAAATCTTTATTTGTGCTAATAAAAAATTTTTACACGCGTCAGAAGAAGCTAGTAAATATATCGAACATAATTTTATAAAAATAAATAACAATTTTTAAAAGAAACAAATTAGAATTAACTCTATAAATATATATGATCTACTATATAATAAATTAAGCACCACTAGATAGTAACACCAGGTCTTTAAAATTATTATTTAGGTATTCATCTAATGAATAAAATGCCTTTCGTATCAAATATTGTTTCACATTTTTTAGAAAATCATGACTGTTGTATCTACGTACTTCGTCAGGCAAAGTGTTCAAAAATTTTATGCAAAAATAATTAATGGCATCCCTCGACTTAGTGAGACGCAAGTTTCTGA